AAATTAAATCAACAGTGAAATTTGACTAAAGCTTCTAGTAGTTCCTTTGTTTACCTAATAATTATTGTATATCAAGAATTATTAGATGTAATCAAGTCCATTGCAATAGAACAATAAAATAAAAACATGTTAATATAAATAAGTTCGATTCTCGGATTGGTTCGGTTTAGGCACTGTCTAAACCAAGAATCAATTCAATCTTATCAGTTTGATGATTTGAAAATCTAAAACCAAATCAATGCACTCAAAATCCAACCCAACCAAAAAGATCAGTTTGATTTAATTTTTTAATTTATTAGATAATTTGAACATCCCTAATTGCGATATAGGTGATACTGGAATAATTTTAAAATATTAATAATTAATTTTTTATTAAATGAAATAAAATAAACCTTGGGTCACAAATCTGTTAGACTCAATAATTTACCTTAATATTATCCCCTCAATCAAATTCATGGTGTCGCTACTGACTGTCAAACATGAAATCACTCATGTGAAAAAGTTTAAAGTTGCCCTTTAAAATATATATATATATATAGTTTATATATAAAAAATGATAAATTATAAATACACTCTTAATATTTATTTAAAATATAGATTATCCCTTTGAAATATATATATATATATATATATATATATAGTTTATATATAAAAAATGATAAATTATAAATACACTCTTAATATTTATTTAAAATATAGATTATTTATTATAATTTTAGAAATTATATCTTGTCCTTTAAAATTTTTAATCGCATAACAAATAACTTATTTTACTAATAAATTATCAAGTGAATTAACTATTTTTACTGATGTCAAAAATATATTTCAATTAACAATTTCAATAATTTTATTATTGTATAGGAGAGCAGTTAGAATTTTAATTTTTTTTATTAATTTTGTTAAATAAAAAATTATAACAAATAAATTTTTAAAATTACAGAAGATAATTTATATTTTAAATAAATTTTAAAAGATATATTTATAATTTATTCATTAAAAAAACATATTGGAAATTACAATTGATCGAGTGTTTTGTCCTAAACACGCAAATTGCGGGTAACCTGCTCTTACTTTTCTCATGCTTTCGTTTTGTCTATAAAGTGAGGTAGTCAATTACTGCTCAAAATTAATTTTGTAACAATTTTTTATTTTTTTTTTGATAATCAAGGTATCTGAGTAAATGTAGCGAAAAAAGTGTATTAGGGTTACAAGTGTTAACATACGAAAACTATCTTAAAAATTTGTTTTTTGAACTGAACTGAGTTATGATAGATGTGCTTACACGGGTTTACATAGCAAAAAATTTTATATGTAAATATACTGATTTATATTTGTTGGATAATTTAATGGAGCCTTTTCATAAAAAAATGGAGAGAACAACAATCTATAATAAAATGTACTGAGATTTTTCATTAATCAAGAATATTATCTACGTATGTACAACTATGCTTGATTAAAAAATGTAAATAGTGTATAGTCTATTACATTTTTACATGGTGCACAACTATGCTTTCTTCCAAGAACATTCAATGTGTTTGGTTTCACTTTTCTGAATTTAATTTTTTGAAAATTAATTTTTTATTTTTCGTGTTTTTTTGTTTTTAGTAAATATTTTTAAAATTTTAAGTAATTTTTTTTATTTTTTTAGATGCATTTCACTTAGATGTATCTAAATAGTAAAGTATTTGTGAAAAAATATTTTAAAAAATTAATAAAAACACAAAAATACGAAAATGTACTAAATTTTCATATTTTTTGGTATTTAGTGTATTTTTTAAAGATTTTTTACAAATATTATATTTTTTAAGTGTGTTTATGTTAGGTGTGTCTAAAAATTAAAAAAAAAATTGCTTAAAGTATTAAAAAAAATTCATTGAAAATACTAAAATACGAAAAATAAAAAAATAAAATTTTCTGAAAACTGTTTTCTGGAAACTGGAACCAAACAAGCTGATTATTATTCAAGATTAAGGGGTTGTTTGGGATGTTCTAAATAAGTGTATTTTTTGAATTTTTATAAAAAGATGTGTAAAAAAGTAGAGAGGAGATGTTGATTGATGTGACTCAAAAAAAATAAAAAGTATGGACTTATTTAGTCTTCCCAAACAAGGCTTAAAAGTAAGAAAAATAAAAATTAGATTCAATTTTCAAATTCAATGATATGACAATTAATTAGGATATTAAATGTAATATTTTTTTCTCATATCTTTTTTAATTATCAATTAATCATATCACTTACACATCATTGTGTCTATAAAATCGATATAAAAAGTGAGCTTATATATCATTTTCCTTCTTAAAAAAAGATAAATGAAGCAAAATCTATTTCTGACGCTAGACTATTGGAGATTTAGACCTACTGGGGTTGTGTTTAATTGAGAAATTTGAGAAGGGAAGAGAAAATATGTGTAAAATTACGTAAAATGTATATATATTTATTCACATTTTACCTGATTTTTTCTTTTTTCTTTCTAAATCTCTCAACTAAACATAATCTAAAATTGTGTTAATCGATCCAAAAAAGTATAAATATAAGGTGAAATTAGTAATCAGTGGTAAGATAAAAAAAAAAAAAATTACAAACCCAATAAGAAAGCTTATAACATCAATTATTAAAATTGGTAAATTTTATTATTAATTTAAAATTTATTTTAAAAATCTGCACTGATTTATAATTCTCTCCAAAAAATAACTATTTGTGAGCGACACAAGTCATTGTCGTAAAATCCAAAAATGTCAGTCAGTGGTCGACACATCACCCTATCAGTGGCTACAAAAGTGCAAAATTTTTGTAGTGTGTTTTGAGAAGTTGATTAAAAATTAATTTTTTATTTATTTTTAGAAAAAATATAAAAAGATAAAAGATAATATGATTAAAAAAAATTAAAAAATTAACTTTTAATGAGATTGCCAAAATAGACCTAAGTTAAATCGAATAGATTTAAGTTATATCAATTTGGAGAGAAAGAACGGCAATGATCGAAGCCAGAGATAATTACACAAGACAAACATGTTACATATCCATTTGTGTTTGGTTTCAATTTTTTGGATTAAGTTTTTTAAAAGTTGAATTTTTTGATTTTCGTATTTTTTTATTTTTAGTAAATATTTTTAAAATTTCAAACATTTTTTTTACTTTTTAGATGTACGTTATTTAGATGTATCTAAAAAGTAAAAAAAATGTGAAAAATATTTTAAAAAATTAAGAAATACATAAAAATACAAAAAATGTACTGAATTCTTGTATTTTTTTTATATTTTTGGTATTTAGTGAATTTTTAAAAGATTTTTTTTACAATTTTTTTAATTTTAAGGTGTATTTATGTTAGATGTGTCTAAAAAGTAAAAAATTTGCATAAAATATTAAAAAAATCAGTAAAAACAAAAAAATACTGAAAATAAGAAAGTAGAATTTTTTAAAAACTATTTTTAGAAAAATGGAACCAAACATAGCCAAATTATATTTTTTAAATCATAATTGCAAAATAAAAAAATATTATAACTAAACCTAATATGAGATATAATTAAAGAATCTATGAATTTTAAATAAAATAATGTCATAACTAAAAAAGAAAATTGATAATAACTAAAAAAAATAAAATGTTATAATTAAAAGGGCATATGATGCACCCTTTGAAGAGTGTTGTATTAGAATTTTCCAAATTGAAAATTCAAATTCAAAATACTTAGGGGTTGTTTGGGATGACCTAAATAAATATATTTTTTTATCTTTTTACGAAAAGATGTGCAAAAAAATAAAGAGGTGATCTGATGGAAAAAAAATAAAAGGATAAAAAGATAAATTATTTTGTGTATACCAAAATTGGCCTTACTATTTTCTCAACAATTTTCTAGATACCTTTTTTTAGACATGTAGGTCATGTTTATTTAAAGAAAAATGCTTGGGAGCACTAGAAATTGAACATTAGAAGAAGCACTAATGATGTGACGATAGACCTCACCCACTTTCTATGCCTTATTTTTTTTTTTTTATCATTCTTAATACATTAATACTATTAATGATGTATTTTTTAATGGTCTAAATCATTGTTATTTAAAGGATTGAGTAGCCGATTGAACTAGGTGACTGTAAATTTCACCCATAGCATCTTTGGTACGTAGTGAAATGAAAAGACAGATGGATAGTTGAAGAGATCTAAGACCATCTCTAACGGTTCATTAAAGTTGACCCTAAATTTAAAATTTGGTGAAAAAGTTACTGTTTGGTGCTCCAACGGTTGCACTAAATCGATATGAAATTGAGATTTCAGCAAACGATTCATCAAACTGAGGACAGAATACATATTTCATCAAAACACTGTGCGTGACCGTTGAAGCAGAAAAGGTTCAAAATTTTACATATGGTGGTCGACCCCTTGGTTGACCACCCGGTCGACCAGTGCATGAAAAATTGGCCTGCGAAGGTAGATTCAAACAGTTCAAAAAGGTAAAAAAAAAAAACAAAACAAAATTTGATTTTACCGATTGACCCACGGAGGTAGGTTCAAACAGTTCACAAAGGTAAAAAAAAAAATTTCTCCTAACTGGTCGACCATCCAGTTGTCCTGAAGGAGATTTGATGAAGGTGAACCGTTGGAACGTTCAGTATTAAATTGAGGAAATGGCCATTTTTTTACTCAGATTTGATGAAACATTTGATAAACCGTTAGAGATGCTCTAAGTAATCCCTTTCAGTAAAATAAAATAGTTTGGCTAGATTTTAGATGAAATTAAAAAAAATAATGAAGGAATTCAATTCATTTTATATATAAAAAAATATTAATTTTTTTACCAAGTACATTTTAATATTTATTTTAATTTTTTTAATATAAAAATAATTTATTAATTTATTTTATATAAAAATAATTTAACAATCTTATCACTAATCCTCTCTCATAATATCATCAAAATAAACACATTTTTACTTAATTCCCTCGTTAACAATTCTTAAATTAAAAATCTCTTCCCTAATCAATATTTCACTACTAATTTCATCCAACTTAAATCGCCAAATAAACATGACCGTGGTATTGTTTTAAAAACTTGGTACATAGGGGGAGAAAAGTAACATATACTCCAAAACCAGCTAGCGCAGATTCAAGATTATGTAAGCAACTAGTGGTTTCAGCAGCTAACAAAATCAATCCACACACATAATTACTAGCCCAACAAGAACTGAGAAAGTATTACATAAGTTAAAATTCATTGTCATTTACACACACAACCAGCATATTATAACTCGACTAGTGGATTACAGAACCGAACACAAGTTCTGTAATCAGATTCTGTGCACGTAGAAGAACTGAAATCCAAACTTAAGGCATACTAGTGGTTGCAGTAGCAGCGCGGTGTCGAGCCGCAAATCGGTTAACCAAAGCCAGAGCATTACTAGTGACTTTCGAAACACTAACCACCCTGCTCTTAATAGCACCCTTCACATCCCCATCCATAGCATGCTCTCCAAAACCATCAACGCACGTGCTCTCATCGGTCAACGCCGCGCTGACCCATGTCTGCACATTGCTCATGTGCCACATGAAGTCATGGCTCTTCTTAGCTCGGCGGCTCACTCGGCCCAGCTCTTGAATCGACTTGCCCAGCTGGTCCACCGTATCGCCCATGTTCTCGACGCAGTCTTTCACGGCTTGGCGCTCTCTTGGCTTCATGCCTGAAACTTTAGTCATTTTCGACACGAACACGGATGTGGATCGAGCCCTGGCTAAGCTCACGGATAAGGCGGCTTGAGCTAGTTGTTTGTCACTTTGTTGGATTTTAGTGGCGTAAGATGAGAGGCTGTGCACGCAGAGCGCAGGATAGCTGGTGGCTCTGCAGGAGGATTTGATGAAGCTTGTGCCAGCAATAGAATCTGCCATGACAGGCTTGTAATGGACAGAGATCAAAACTAGTACTACTAGTAGGAGGAAGTGCAGTTCAAGTTTTGCCATGTCTTTTGAAAGATATGAAATGGAGAGATTTGGGTGATGTGAAGAAGAGAGCTTTGGAGGATATGTATAGACAATAGAGAGGCTAAAATGTTGCCAATAAATTAAAAAGAGTACAAATTCAAAAACAGTTAGGATGGGACACTTTTGGCTCTATAATCGATTCAGTGTCCATAGAGTAATAATGTTAAATTGACCACCGAGAATTAGGTTGAGTAAATCCACTAATACGATAATTGAGGACACTGTTGTGTCGGGACAAATAAATAAAATAAATAAATAAGTAAATATGATTTAAAAAATAAATATAATTTAATGAAAAATCTTTGATGAACTATATTTTGTTCAATGATTTTATTTATTTAGATTTAATAATATGTATATAAAATTTATATTTGTAAATGTAACTCCAAATTTAATGTAAATGTAACTCTAACATATAAAAATTTAAATTTAAATTTAAATTACATAATATTTTCTAAGTAAAATTTCAGATACCTTAAAATTATAAGATTTTCATTTTTATTTTTTAAAAAGGCAGTCAAATATATTCTTTGCTTTTACTTTTACTTTTATTTTTACTTTTACTTTTATTTTTTTGTTTGCTTTAATGCTTTATTCTATTATTTGTCCTCAGATTGGACATTTACACCACACACTCTAGACCCGGTGTGTAGGCTGCTTCAATCTTAGCCTTTTCGAAAAATTATTGGTTGGCCTTTTCTTTCGCTTGAATCCATTACTTTGTATATGCAAATGAACCAATTGAACAAAACCATACTACATCTCTCACTTATCTTGGTAGTCCCAAAAATCCGAACTAGTAAAAGAAGTCAAGGTCGCAATTCATTTTGATTTGAAAAGTGAGTAGGCATTTGCAGTTTGCTTTTCTGTGACTTTCTAATTTTTTTTTTGAATTTTTAAAAGCCTTTTGACTTGATACCTTTGAGAAGTTGTTATAAAACCATTTTTTTTATTGAGCGAAAAAATTAAGGGTAAATTATAAATACACTTTTAAAATCTGACTAAAATACGAATCGCTCCTTATGGTATTGGAAATTATATTTCATCCTGAGATTTCTGATATCATAATAAATCGTAATTTAATTATTGTATAAGAAAGTAATTACGAATTTTATTTTTTTAGTTAATTTTGTTAAATTAATTTTTTTTAATAAGAGAGTATTTATAATTTTTTAAATCACATGAGGCAATTTGTAATTTAAGTAAATTTCAAAAATATATTTATAATTTATTCAAAATATAAAAAATATGTAATAAATTATGATCGGTGAATAACACAATCACTTGACGCTCTAAATACACCAAATAATTTTTCATTATTTTCCTTTTCCCTATTCCTTTTCCCTATATCTGCTGTAATTAGATAAGGATGTACGTCCTTCAACTACATCGGCTATATCTGCTGTAATTAGATAAGGATGTACATTCTTTATTGGGACTAGCGTACTTTACTTCTGCAGTATTATACAAAATTTAAAAGACCAATGTGATAATATTATGAAAATAATCTTCACATATCGTTTCTTTTAAAGTAAAAAGTTGATTTTACAATACATATATAAATTTTCTTTCTATATAGCATTCCTCTTATCTCTAGAAGTGTGGATGATACCGTCAAAATCGTTAAAATCGTATTGAATTACATTGTTAAGGTAAATTCGTTATTATTTATCAATTGAATCATTAATTTTTTATAAGAAAAATAATAAATTTTAATGACACTTTTATTAATCCTGTCAGTTTCTATTTTTTTTTCAAATCGTACCGACCCGCACCGCTATTAAATCATGTTTTATATGATTCTAAAAATTCTTTTTTACTTAAGTTTACTTGTTGTTCTATACCTTAGAATATAGTATTACATTACTGTTCGGGGGGAATTCAAGATGTCAATAATCCAAAATAAAGTTGGATTCCAATTCACTTTTCAATCTTTTTTTCTTTTTGGCCATGTTGCAAACTTGCATCAGCTCACATTTCAATCTAAATACTTTTTAACAGTAAACATTTTTAATATATTGTAAATCATGAATGATATTAATTTTGTGTATTGTATTTGATCATTGTAGTTTCCACAGATGCGTGTAATGAACTGATGGCATAGTCGTTGATATTATCATGTTGTTGCTACACTTGCTGCATCAGAATAAAGTTTCGCAAGATGCTTAACATCACGGTATCTCTCGTCTTTTTTTTACTCTTTGATTTAAGTTTTGTAATTTGAATTATATTTTTTATAAACCGCCAATCTGCCCGAACCGCCAAGGCAAATCCGTCATTATTTGCCAACCGAATCGTCGATTTTTGATAAAGAAAATGGCAAACTTTAGTACACTTTTATCAATCCGCCACCCGCCATACGGTTTCTATTTTTCTTTCAAACCGCACCGATCCGCACCGCAGACACCCCTAGATGTGATGGTATTTCCTCGTTATCAATGTTTGAATGATTAGAAAAATAAAGTATCTAATATACAAATATTAGTGGAATTTTTTTTAAGATCAATCTTAATATTATAAAAAACAAACCAATCAGCGATTTTCTTACCAAATCTTACACACTTATTCGGACCCTCTTGCATGATGTCGGATATGTAATTGCGGTGTCTATTTTCCATTTCTCATGCATTAGGGTTTAAAGACTCGGACACTGATTCGGACCCTCTTGCATGATGGCAGATATGTAATTATGGTGTTTGCTTGCTATTTCTCTTGCATTAGGGCTGAAACACTCGGACGCTTATTCAGACCCCCTTGCATGGTGGCAGGTATGTAATTATGTTGTTTACTTGCCATTTCTCATGCATTAGGGCTTAAACACTCGGACACTTATTCGGACCCTCTTGCATGATGCCAGATACGTAATTATGGGGCTTACTTGCCATTTCTCATGCATTAGGGTTTAAACACTCGGACACTTATTCGGACCATCTTGCATGATGGAAGATATGGAATGATGTTGTTTACTTGCCATTTCTCTTGAATTTGGGCTTAAGCACTCGGACACTTATTCAGACCCTCTTGCATGATGTCAGATACATAATTATGGTCTTTATTTGCCATTTCTCATGCATTAGGGTTTAAACACTCGGACACT